GGAAAAAAAAAAAAAAAAAAAAAAAAAAAGAATACACAGTCCTCCCGCGGTAGAAGGAAGCAATGTGAAAACTAGTACCATTATTGCCAGCTCCTCATCAGCTTAGTCCCATTTGTAGACAGAACATTTTCAGGAGGGGTCCTGAACACCCAGGTTCACTAAATCCATCCTCTAAGACCCGTCTTATCAACAGTGTATCGCAAGTGATTATTTTAAATTTGTTTTTAGAATGTATTAAAATCAATTACAATCTTTACAAATAGCTTCAAGTACCCTCACGCTTAAGGCACTGAGCAGAGCAACGTAGATGAATAAATTTATAAAGACACAAAGTGCTACGGTGCTGCTCTGTGACACAGCATGCCAACACAGCCCAGTTGCTCAGTTAGTAATCTCTGGTCCAAACAGCCTACCCTGCCTCCAGTCATCATCTTCTTTTGCTGTTTCTGTAGGGAGTGAACCAGGGTGCCCTTGTCAACTAAATCCAAGGCTAACTGTGATCCAATGGGTCATTTACCTTATTGGTGAAGGACACCTGTGCTCAGGTAATAACACATTAGGACAATCAGCTGAAGAGAACTTATAAAAACCAAAATACTAAATATTTCATAATATAAAATAACAGAAACTGAGAAACTGAGACCATAAAAAAGTTACCAATCATTCTGCCACCTCCATACAAACACCATTACATTTTGGTGTACTTCTTCTCATTCTTAAAAAAGTAATAAGCATCTCTATTTCTAAAGTGTTGCCTTAAATTGCATAATGGTTAAGAATAAGGACTTGAGATCCGAAATACATGATCTGAATCCCACCTGTACCACTTAGTAGCTGTATGACCTCGGACAAGGTACCTCAATCATTTTATCTATAAAATGGGGATAATATCAGCACTTGTCTCGTACGGTTGTTGTGAGTATTAGACGTGTTTTTATATGTAAAGCACTAAGAACAATATCTGGCTCATGGTAAGCATTATAGAAGATATTATTCTATTATAAAGTCTAGTGTATAATATTTTTAAAATAGAATAATAACAACAACTAGCACTTTGTATTTTCCCATGCCGTTTTATATATCTGGAACACAGTTGGTTCTCAAGAAAATTCATGAGAATATTTTTGAACTGTTTAAAATCATAGTATTTTATCCATGGAGTGGACTTATCTTATTTAAATAGTTTTTAAAATTTAAAGTTAAAATTATAGTCCACTGGTTGAATTTTTTCCTGTGGATAAACTCTCAGAAGTGGAATTAGTGGGTCACTAAGTATCACATTTTTTAAACCTCTTGGTATATTCTATCTTACTCATTTCCAAAACGTTTTACCACTTTGCAGGACCACAGCAAAACGAGTACCAGCATCAGCCCGATAAAAGTGGATTCAAATGTTTTCCTAACTTACTAGGTGAAATATAAGCTATTCTTGAGTTTTAATCTGATTGCTAATGAGGTTGTATGGTTTCCTTTATGTTAAGTGACTCATTTTTCTTTCTTTCATTGTGAATTGACTGTTCGTGTTCTTTGCAAATACTTAACTAGAGGCCTAACGTTTTTCTTATCAATTTATATGAATATTTTATATAGTAAATATATTAACCTTTTGTCATTTTTACAAACACACTTTTCAGACTATGGTTTTTTGTTTTTGTTTTCGTTCTCTTTTTTGTACTTTTGCAAGTAGGAGAAATATTTGTGTGTCACATTTCCCAATTATTTTCCTTTATAATTTTTTTTATTAAGCTTTACAAAATCCTTCTCACTCTATAAGTCTGATAAATATTCTATTTTCTTCAAGCTTTTCTAGGCTGATTTGTTAACAGGGATTCTGTGAGTCATCTGGAACTGATTTTGGTGTCAGTGAGCTGAGGTATTAATGGTTGTATTTTCCAAATAGCTATTCAGATTCCTCAATGCCATTTATTACAACATGTAGAAATTGCAGCAGAATTTGCATTGAAGAAGTCACAAGCACCAGAAAGAATATATATTCTCTGCATGGACAAGGAGCTGGGGAGTAAGAGAAAGGGTCACTATGCAGAAACAACTTAAGAGAGGACAGCTCTTCACATAGCCCCTCAGAATCCCATTCACAAGTGTGCCTTGGGTAGGAATAACCCATAAGGAAGTAGAGAAAGCATGGGTTCTGTGGGAGACTAAATAACATTTGCTGTTGATTAAAGTTCATGCTGTAGGTCACAACTTCATTTAGGTAACAAGACAGCGCTGCAGATTTCCCAAGGTACTAAAATAATAGGTGCCTTTTTCCTAAGACAGGTAAATCAAATAAGAGAACAGTGCTCACAGAATAAGAGAGTTTTAGGCCTGTAGGACAGCCACTGAACATTCAGTAATGCAGGGAAAGGACGAAGGCCCAGAGAAGTTAAATGAGTTCCTATATTCACAATGCTATTTACAGTAATATGGGGTCTAGAACCCAGATCTAGAATCCAGTGTGTGTGTTCCTCCCTATCAAGTAACTTCTTCCACACAGATTATAGAAATGAGTCAATAGAACTCTAAGGGTCAAGCAAGGACCATGTCTGTGTAATTTTTTTACTTAGCATGCACAAATGTGTTTAGATGAGCTTGCACACATATATACGAATAAGTATTTTACTGCCCTTAACACTTATATTTTCAGGGACAGTTCCAGGTGCTGGAGATACAGTAGTGACTTAGACAAGCTCCCTATTCTCAGGAACATATATAGTTCTATATGTTATATACCATACATATTTCTTTACATCTCAACTTGGCAATAATACAGCTTATTAATTTACAGATTAGATAGATATATTTTGGGTCAAATTCAAACACCTCAAAACAGCACTAAATATAGGAAACCCTCCCTGTGAGACCATTACCTTCAGCAAACTATAGCCCTTGGGCCCAAACCAGACTTTGGTTTTTATGAATAAAGTTTTATTGGAACACTGCCATGCTCATTTATTTGCATATTGTCTATGACTACTTTCAAGTTCCAGTGGCAGAGCTGAGTAGTAGTGACAGAAACTATATGACCTGAAAGCCTAAAATATTTGCTATCTTGCCCTTTAAAAAAGGTTCACAGGGCCCTGATTTATAAAATAGGCTTTAATCTGATTATACTAACAGCAGCATACAGGCTTCTATGGAACTAAAAAACAAACTTCTTTAATGCATTTCATTGTTGGCTCTCTGTACTAACAAATGAGAGTATTCTTCCCAGTTAGACAAGGAGCTCTGCCACCTCAGAGGAACAAGATCTTCACTACGTCCCCTGTGGTATTTAGGAGGTGAGTGTGTTTGCATTGGCTAGTTGTGAATGTGAAGTTTCCATCAAGGACAAATAAGTGATGATAAGTCCAATTTCTTTCCAGCCATTATGTTTTCTATGGTTTCTTTGAAGGGGCTGTGGTGTGAAGTGGGAGGGAGGAAGGTTTTCGGCTGGGTTCAGGCATACTTTGAGGTGAAGAGGGTTAAAAGTACAAGGGTTTAACAGAAAAGAGAAAAACAGAAAATCTGAAAATCCAGTGGAAATGGAAGAGAGGCTGGCTCTTTCCTCCATTAGCCACTCCAGAAATGCAGAATTTAATTTGTCTGCAACGTGGGTTTCCCAGCTCACCTGCTGCCCGCCTACGGTGCTAATGTGGTTACGGTCAGACAACCGGCTGTAAAAATGGCACCTTCTCACTTGGCATAACAGCTCTCTGCAGACCTCCAAGTCATAGCTGCTCAATTTACTGATAAAAACAAGCTTTTATTGCTGTTGGCACCAGCGAGCCAAAGCAGCCAGAGAAGCACAGAGAGATCCTCTTGGCCGTGCACATCGTCAGCACAGCTGACAGGGGAATTCCCCTTCCCGAATCTTTTGAGTACCGATGATGTGAGCGGCTGACCCCCCACCCAGGCTGGCAGTCAGCAGCATCAGCTTGATCTGGAAGCACTGCAAATGCAGGGAGCTCCTCTTCAGTCCTACTTACTGACTCCACACTGGTGTCATTTGTAACCATCACTTGTGAGAGTATAATTGAGTGCTGAAGTCAAAATGTTAACATCATTAGATGGAAGAACTTGGCCAGAATGGCGAGAGGCTTAACTGAAAGACGTGCACTGGCAGTCTTGGCCACAGCCTAGAGAGTGATGGGTTTGTTTCAGGAGAATTTGGTTTTCTCAGCCCCTGAATGCACACGGCACGCGTCATTGTGGAGAGCAGTGGGGTTGCAGGTTCATGGGAGAGGAACATGGCTTGCGAATCGGATATGTAGCGCCCTGGCACAGCAAACCAGAAAGTCTCAAAGCTCTGCCCAGTGTTTCATGGAGCTGTCAGAACAGCAATGAAACAGACAGCAGACTCTGGAACGAAAACTGTTCTGGACTGTGTTGACCTTGGATGGAGCACCCTACGTCTGTGAAACCTCAGTTTCTCCACCTATATAGTGTGACAACAAGAGCGTGCACCTCACAGGGTTGCTGTGAGGCTTAGATGAAGTCTCAAAGCTCTGCCCAGTGTTTCATGGAGCTGTCAGAACAGCAATGAAACAGACAGCAGGCTCTGGAACGAAAACTGTTCTGGACTGTGTTGACCTTGGATGGAGCACCCTACATCTGTGAAACCTCAGTTTCTCCACCTATATAGTGTGACAACAAGAGCGTGCACCTCACAGGGTTGCTGTGAGGCTTAGATGAGGCTTAGATGAGATCCTGCATGCAAAAAGGCACAAGCCCCCTTGATGACGGTTAGGTATGGTGATGAGGAAGAGGACCAGAAGGAGGAACAAGCAAACAGCTCAGCACCCTCAACTGCATCTAAACTTGTGAATCTTTCATATCAGTAAGACACGAGTCTTACAGGCAATGGCATTGTGATTAAAGAGAGATGTAGCTCTGCTACCCCAGGAAAGTCCTTCCTTCCATGGGAAGAAATGTCAGTGTCTCATGGCAGCAAGGATGCTTCTGCCAGAAGGCAGGCACTCTAGGGTGCATGGGATGCAGGAAAGGGTGAGAAGGAACGACAGAAATGGTCACCTGTGTGCTTGGTGCCAATATGAGTCTTTATTTCTGATTCCTCCATGGTGACAAAGTCGCAGGCAGTGCAGCAGATCGAAAACATCCACTGCTCCTTGTCCACGTGCAGTGACATGTGGCTGACAAACTGGACATTGAGCTCGGTCTCAAATCCACACACATGACAACTATATGAAAGGGTAAAAGAAAAGAGGGGGAGGGAAGAGAGTGATACAACTTCTAAATGTAGGCTACCTACTTATATTTAGAACACTCAAGAAAACTGGAATTTAACACACATTTTTCTCTCTACCAAGAAGATTTTTGCATTGGAAAATTCGTGTGTGTGTGTGTGTGTGTGTACACACCCTGCTATCTGTCAGTTGTGGGTGGGTGCTGAGCCCGGGAAGAATAAAACACTATTTGTACTATTTGTAGGACTGCACTGTAAGAAAGGCCCCATCGTTCTCTCTGAGCTCCAGACCTGGGTCAGCCAAGAAATAAAAAACTAATGAAATTAAAGCGAAAAAATGACTAGTGTGAAATAATTTAATTGGAAATTTTCATTTTACATAAAAAAATAAATATTTTCAATTAATTTCTTAATGGAAACCCTCTCATAAAATTGACATAAAAATGTTTCAGGATCATTTCCGGAGTGGCATTCTGAATTCATTTGATTCATCAAGCAAATTAAAGTAAAAGAAGCAGGCTTTGCTTTCACTGTACAGATAAAGGTAGCAGCAGCAGAGGAAGGGAAGAGTGATTTCATTTTCTGTCCTTAATTCTTACTTGGTATTACTGGGCCTGCCTTAAAGAAAAAACCTGCCTTATTTATTTCACAGGAAAGAACATGGAAAAAAGTTTTTCTATAACAAAATGTAAGGCATCATTATTATTGTAGGTGGTCCCCAACATCTGAATGGCTGGCAGCCAGGAATGGCAGGGCTGGGGAGGAGCCCTACAGTGCAGATAAAAACAGTCCTTTCTTTAGAATGTTTGCATTTTATTAATAAGTGAGGTTGTTAAGTTTTATGTTAAGCATATTAAGATTATGCTTCCTCCACAAAGTGAACTGTGGAGCTTTTTATCTTTTTCTATCATTTGGAAAAATTTAATAACACTGGAGTTTCCTTTTCTCAAAAAGTTAGAACTCATCTGGGAAAACTTCTGGACCTGCTGCCTTTGTTAACAGTATTTCCTTCATCATCTTTCCAAATTTCCCTTTGATAACTGATTTATTCAAGTTTTCCTCCCCCACTTGGATCAATTTTAGTAATTTTGCTTAAATTACCTATGTCACCTAAGTTTTTTTTTTTTTTGCCATAGAGGTGTCTTTATTCTCCAACAATTCTTTAATATCATTTGTATTGATGATTAGGCTTGCTTTTTCATTCCTAATTTTCAGCATTTTTGCTTCCTTTTCCTTTCTTAATCAGGCTGAAAAGAATTTATGTAGTTTATGGTCATTTTCTTCCTTGATTTGCTGCAGTTATTTGAATTTTTACTTTCTTCCCTTTTCTTTGATCCAGTTAGGTAGAACATTTCATTGACCTTTGATTATTTTAAATATAACTATGCTCAGAGAGTGGCCTGTAAAACCTTCACTTTTTGAAACATGTTAAAGTTATTTTTGTGACTAAGTATATGACTAAAATTTTGTCTTTGGCGAAATTTAACATTAAAATACTAAAAATATATTTTAAAAAGACAAAATTAATCTTGTCATATATTAATATCCCTATCGTGCTTTCTTTTTTATTTGTGATGTACAAAACCCTTATTTTGAACTTTTCTTTATCATTTTGTTTTAGTGTTTCCTGTAAACAAAATATATCTGGATTTTTTAAAAATCTGATTTTTAATGTAAAAATCAAAACACTGATTTTATTATTCCTGTCTTGCTTTATGTTTACTACCTTGCCTTATATCTTTTTGTCTTCACTTATTTTTGCCGTACTGGTTAAGTTACCATTTATTCCTCCTTTCCCCTTGTTAACTTGGTTGCCTTCCCTTTCCTGACCCTCAGAATCAAGCCTATTTCTCCACTATTATATGTAAATAAAGGTAAAGACAGTTTCTGTACCAAGGTGCTCTTTCCCCCCCACCACAAGAAGATGGAGTGTATCCCCATCTACCGCACCTTCAAGATCACTAAATTCTTTCTCGAGTTTAGGAATTTTACTGGATATTCCTGAATGTGTACCTTTTCTCATCAGTCCTACTTGGAACTCAATGAGCCCTTCCAATACAAATGAAAAAGCCTTTCCAGGGTCTTATTTATTTATTTATTTTATTTTATTTTTTTGTCCTTTTTGAGACTGGCCGCACTGCGCTCAGCCAGTGAGCGCACCGGTCATCCCTATATAGGATCCAAACCCGCGGTGGGAGCGCTACTGCGCTCCCAGTGCCACACTCTCCCAAGTGCGCCACGGGCTCGGCCCTCCAGGGTCTTATTTAAACATGCCAGGTAAATAGCTTGAAAGGGTCTGGATAAACACGTTTCCACCACTTCCTGTAATAATTCTTTTAGAGAAACTTGCCTCCTTGACAGCTGGAGAAGTTGGTAATGGGGCGTGGAAGGCTTAGCAGCTGAGGCCTGACTCACCTGTATGCAGTGAGAGATGTCGGGACAAAGTCTGCTGTCGGCCAAACACTTTCCCGCACACGTCACAGGGAAAAAGTTGGTCATTGAATTTCCAGGATGGCAATCCATTTCCTGCCTCTAGTACTATCTTTTCTGTTTCTGGGCCAAAAGAACAAAGCATCATGAGAAATACACAAGGCAACATAAACACATTTCATTGTAGTCAACATTCAGGATTTCGGCAGAGACTTCTTTCTGAAAAATCGGACTAGTAACTGTAAATAAGCCCCAGTAAGTGGTCTTCATGCTCACTTCTTGTCTCTAATGAGGCCATTCTTGAAAGCTGTGGTGGCAAATGGTTTCCAATTCCAATCAAGTCTCCAGGTTTTTCTCTCTTTCACCACTAAAGATCAGCCCACCTAACTCTCCACTAGGTTGATAGCACAGTGCCAACTATTACAGTAGGTACTCAAATACTTGTTGCATGAATGAATGGTTGAGTTGCACATTAAAATTCTAGAAATGTAGACTTTTGCCCCAGGAAGTAAATAAAGAATTCTAAATCTCAGATTCTGATATGAAAATAAATGGTTCAATCCTTTAAAAGGAAATATACTTTCACTGTCTTTATGAAGAAAAGTTTTACCCTATCTTCTAGGCTTCGCAAAATCCTTAATGAGCAACTTGCGTTGGGCAGACTCAGTGATGAAAACTGCATACTGCTCCACACAAAACTCCCTAATGCAAGAGTGCACAGATAGAATTTTCCCCAAGGTCTCAGCATACCTGGGGAAACGGTGAGTGCCACAAGTTATCTGCAGCCATGAATGAAATGTTATCTCTCAGCCATGAATGAAATAAGTGGATGTTAAAACATTCTCATGTCATCTTAAAAAGTTTCTATTTTCTCATTATTATCTGTAGAATTACTTTCAATTTTCTTATCCATATTTCTTCTCATTGAATTGCAATGATTTATACAAACTTTCCTTCTACAGTAATATAATGATAGGTGACAAAGAGTACCAAACAGGGAAGGGGACATTTCCAAGAGGACACTTGAATGGGCCACAAATAGGCCTTTTGATCTTGCTTTGAAGAACAAGACAAGTAATATACTAAGTCAATATCCTGTCCTTTAATTCAGTAAATTATTGTGAATCTTCTTAAAGTACCGCATTATAGAACCAGACACCATGTGGTGTTAATTAAATGGCAGAAAGAACTTTTCATAAGATATAAGCAGATGAAAATGCTTAGACTATCTGTCAGAGACGACATCAGAAAAAAACTTTTATTTCACATAATTTGGTTAAAACTGCTTCCCAAATACAGGCTTCTACCTGTATTTGGATGAGTCAACTGGATCAATTTTTGTCTGAATGAAGATTTGCCAGATAGTGTAATCTAAGGAAACAAGAAACAGATTCGAATGTATGTTTGGAAAGCGGGGTAGGAGGATGATGGTGAAATTGCAGTCGTGTTTGCTGTGAGGCACCTGCCAGCAATCCCAACATTGATAAAGCACACTTATTGATTTATCTGTGTTTGTTAAAACATAGCTGTTTGGGCCTCAAGGAGAAGAGATAGTCTTATTAAAGTAGGATTTGTGACTGAAAACCCCTCAAGGGGAAGGCTGGTTGGAATTGTGCGGGAAGGGAAGTTGAAGGCGAGGTCCAGGCCAGCTGAACTTCTGAGGTGAGAACTGCTCTTCGATGACTGTCCTTGTGTCCAAGCAGCGGGCATTTCAACGACGCAGCGACGAGGGGGTACTTTAGTGGTTCCTTTTAAGTGTGTCATCAAAACAGTGCTTCAAGGAGGATGATAGTAATGATTATAAGGACAGGTCAAGAGGGTACAGGGTCTTCTGATACATTCACAACAAGAATGAATGAACTGGGTCACATACCGAACAAGTAGATCCAATTAAAAATAAAGACATCTCTTAATAATTCTTTGAAGTATTAGTCATGTACTCGAGAAGTTGAAGAATCATAAAAAGTCCAATTCCCTCCCACTGGCCTTAGAAAACGATGAAAACTACTAAGACCTTGCTGCATGCAGGTAATTAGAAAGAACCAGTAGCTACAGTGAGGCAGCCCAGAGACACCGCGAGGGCACCCCCTACAGGTCAGCTGCAGAGTCACCGCGAGGGCACCCCCTACAGGTCAGCTGCAGAGTCACCGTGGGGGCGCCCCCTACAGGCCAGCCACAGGGTCACTGCGGGAGCGCCCCCTACAGGCCAGCCACAGGGGTCATCGTGAGGGTGCCCCCTACAGGTCAAGCCAAGCCTGCACCTGGGCCCCAATCTCTCCTCTCCCTGCTTAATGTGTGTGTTCACTACAGCGATCCGTTTTCATTCCACATGCAGGAACAAGACAACCACAGGCCATTTTGAGCCTTATCCCCGAACATGACCCTGAAATCACAGCTGAGCGAGGCTGAGAGGCGGTGGGGCAGTGGGAAGAGGAGCATGGATGCTCTTCGACTATGATGGGGTTATGACCAGACAAACCCATTATTAAGTTGAAAACATCATAAGTAGAAAATGCATTCAATACACTAACCTGGCTTAGCCTAGCCTACCTAAAATGTGCTCAGAATACTTACATTAGACTACAGTTGAGCAATATCCTCTAACACAAAACCTATTTTATAATAAAGTGCTCAATATCTCATGCAATTTATTAAATACTGTACTGAACGTGAAAAACAGATGTTTGTATGGGTACTCAAAGTACAGTTTCTACTGAATGTATATTGCACCATAGTAAAGTCAAAAAATCGTAAGTTGAACCATTTCAAGTCAGGGACCGTCTGTATTACTTTTGCAAAACAAGTACTGAAGTGAGAGGCCTGCTCCTCTGTTCACAAAGCTGCAATGAGGTTGAAATGGAGCTCAGCAGATGTCACATCCTCCAGAATTTCCTGTTAATGGTGCCACCCAAATACCGCATGAGAAACCTCAGAATATTTTTTGATTCCTCTCCTTCTCTCTGTCTTTCAATACATACAAACAGTCACTAAAATGTCGATCTTACCTCAAAGATCTTTCTGGAAGCCAACTGCCTTAGCTGAGTCATCATCTCTCACCAAGATTGTTGCAAAAACCTCCAAAACAGCTTCTCTGCTACCAGCCCCTCTCCATTCCAAAAGCCCCTCCTCACTTCACAGGTTCCAGAAGGACCTTTCTGAGGCACAAATCTGATCATGTCTCAACCTGTATCCCAATGGCTACCCAAGGCCAAAGTCCGCACAACACCACTTCTTTTATACAATAAACTCTGACTCATTTTCAAGCCCTATCTCAGATTTCATCCCCTGGTATAGCCTTCCCCAATTCCCCAGCTATAATTAATTTCCCCTTCTCTGTCCCAAAGCACTTTTATGACTACTTCTATTGTACCACTTTACCTATTATGTCATTTGTTTGCATATCTTCTATAATATATATATACACACACACATCTTTTTTCATATAAAGCACCCAGCATAGTTCATCATGTGGCAGTGCTCAATAGATATGTTTCCCAGCCTCCCTTCCCTATTAGAATGTAAGTCGTTGGGGGACGAGGTTCTGTGTTATTTTGTGTCCTCAGCATTAGCCTAGTGCCTGGTACATGATAGGTGCTTAGTATATATCTGCTGAATAAATGCATGACTGAATGAAAAGATCCAAGTAAGGCAGGGAATAAACATTATCTTTATTTTATAGTGGGAAAGATTGGGAATTTATTAGCATAAATTTAAGGTCTACGGTCAATTCAGGGTGAAAAACAAGGCTACCTACCTTTCAAATAGATGTTTTAATTCAACTCAAGAACTGCTTTAATGATTCTATTAGTGGAAATGTTTGCAGTCCTGAGCCATACCCCCAAAGGTTCTATATCCTTACTTCTTCCCAATAGCCAAGCCACAAGATGATCCTCTTTAAGACAAACTCTCTGGCAGACACTATTTATTGGTTAACACAACAGTCATTCTCCACTTTCCTTCTCCCCTGCCCTCTCCCACCATGGAGGCAGCTGGGGTGGCCTGTGCCAAAGTTCTGGCCAATGAGAAGGCTTTTGCTTTCCTGATAAAAGAGAAGAGATGACTGGTGCTGGCCCTCTTTTCTCTCTTTCCTGCCTTGATCACAGAGGAAATGCCTGGGATTATGGCAGTCATCTTGTGAATATGAGGCATGAAGATGAAAGCCAACTACTAAGGATGGAGGAAGGGAAAGAGGGAAAACTCTGGGTCCTTGATGGCGTTTCGCAGCAGCTGAATGATGCCAGCCACCACCCACCACCCACCTCTGGACTTCTTGTTTTGTGAGGGAAATATGTCCCTGTTTGTTCCAGCCACTGTTAGTTGGGTGTTCTGCTACTTATGACATTCTTAACCGAACCCCCCTCCTATGGTTGCTCTTGGTCATTGGACTTTGGATGTTAGGTTCTAGCTTTTGACAAGCTTTATTCCCAAATTCTAGCATCCTGTGAAAAAGTCTCTGCATTCATTTTCAACAGCAGTAAATGTACAGCCAGCTAAACACATTTCCATCTTAATTATCTTAATTTTTTCTGCTTAAAAAAACCTTAAAAGCTTTTTTAGATTATAAAGGAATTTACTTTTAAAAAACTTTTTATGGAGCATTTTATATACATATATAAAACAGAAAAGTACACATATCAGTAACTGCTTTTAAGTCAGTTCCAAAGTGACAAAACAGCTTGGATATAGGTATTATCTTTAAAAGTCTGTTCATCTTTATTCTCATATCCCTTAGTATTTGTTTCATTATTTTAATTAGCTGTGAGTGTATATTTGAGATTTTCTTCATTTCTTTTAGAGCAAAATACTTGTCTCATGATAACTTCTTTTTTATACACAGTCTCACAGGACTTTGTCTCCCACAAAGCATTTAATGTCTTTTCATACTTATACTCTGATCCTTGGGATATCCATAAATTGCTTCCATAAATTCCTGGCTACTCGGTACTGAGCGATCAGATGTTTTTCTTTCTACTTTTCCACCTACAGAAAAGCAGAAACTTTGAACTTACAACTTTGGCACAGGCCACCCCAGCTGCCTCCATGGCAGGAGAGGGCAGGGGAGAAGGAAAGTGAAGAAGGACTGCTGCGTTAACCCAAGCAATAATCTTTGCATTGAATATCAC